TGTCTGTGGGCTGATACACACGCAGAGCACAATTTCTGGGCCGGAAAGTGCAGTCCCCATTTCAGTGGGGCCGACTGGCTGTACGGTGTCTGTGCCTCCCAGCAGCACACGAGGACAGGACCTACAGCGGTTTCAAAGGAGTGCTTGGACGTGTGGTGACAGATCTGAGCCACAGATAGCACTGGGCACAGTGAGTTCATCCACTCATTCATTTTGCTAACCAGCGGAGGCCTGCTGCCCTCCTGGCTCTGCAGACCAAGTCAGAGTGAGGTTACAGGGCCTGTTGTAAGTCTCCAGAAGGTGCCCTGCACCCTGTCCCTGGCTGGGAGGGCTGGACGGGAAAGGCTTCCCTCGGAGGGAAAGAAGGTGCCCGTGGCAGACAGGAGCCCCAGGAGCTCCTCAGCTCAAAGAAGCAAACAAGCTGTTCTCTGCCAAGAGATCTGCGACACATTTGCTTGTTCCATAATTTATTTTATTGTTGTTGAAACTATACGCGGCAACACATACACCAATCCAACTGTTTCTGTCTGTCCAGTTCGGTGAAGCTGGCTGTAGAAATCGTTTTCAGTTGTGCAACCTTGTAGGGCTGCCCTGCAGTTTGTCCACGTGTTCCCACGTTGACAGGCACTTAAATGACTCTGTGCTAGTAAGAGTAATTCCACTACGAACGTTGTGTAGGGGGTTTTTGTGAGATGATAAATATTTAGCTTCATGGTCTAGAAGACCATGACTTTTTAACTTTTATGTCCCACTGTTCTTTAAGAAAGAAAAAAAGATGTATGAGTCATTAAAAAAAATTTTTTTTTTGAGGGCTCATACAATTCTTATCACAGCCCCTACATACATCCATTGAGTCAAGCACCTATGTACACCTGTTGCCCTCATCAATCTCACAACATTTGCCCTCTACTTTAGCCCTCAATATCGTTTGCTCGTTTCCCCCTCCCTCCCTCTTCCCCCCTCAACCCTTCACTATTCATAAATCATTATAGTTTTGTCATAAGTTACACTGTCCGACGCCTCCCTCTGCCCTCTTCTCTGCTGTCCATCACCCAGGGAGGAGGCTATACTCAGATTCCTGTAATTGGTTCCCCCCTTCTACCCCACATTCCCTTCACCCTGCAGGCCTCACCCCTCTCACCACTGGTCCTGAAGGAGTCATCTATCCTGGATTCCATGTTTCAGGTTGTTATCTGTACCAATGTACATCCTCTGGTCTAGCCAGATTTGCAAGGCAGAATTCATCATTTTATGCAGCTGTGCCCTCTGGCTTTTCATTCATTTATTGCTGGTAGTCTCCCCGAGCCTTCATCCTCCCTCCTCCCTCCTCCATTCTTCATCCTCCATCCTCAGTCCTCCATCCTCCATCCTCCATCCTCCATCCTTCATCCTCCATTCTTCATTCTTCATCCTCCATCCTCCATCCTCCATCCTCCATCCTTCATCCTCCATTCTTCATCCTCCATCCTCCATCCTCCATCCTCCATCCTCCATCCTCCATCCTTCATTCTTCATCCTCCCTCCTCCCTCCTCCCTCCTCCATCCTCCATCCTCCATCCTCCATTCTTCATCCTCCATCCTCCATCCTTCATCCTCCATCCTCCATCCTCCATCCTCCATCCTCCATCCTCCATCCTCCATCCTCCATCCTCCCTTCATCCTCCATC